GCTCCCTGTCCTGACTGCCTCTGGAACCCCTGGCCCTGACTGCTCCCCGCTACCCCATCCAACCCCTCCCTCCTTCCTGACTGCACCCCCGGGACCCCTGCCCCCATTCAACCCCCCTAGCAAAATTACGAATTTAAGCTCCCAGTCAATCATATCAAAAAGCAATAACTGGTTCCTTCATGGTAACTGTTCTTTTCCTTCTCAGCTTTACCACACTATGCTAAAAGATACTACAGCAGTTCCCCCTATAGAAAAAAAGTGTAAATCAATAAAGTGCACCTCTACCCCGATATAATGCGACCCAATAAAACACGAATTCGGATATAATGCAGTAAAGCAGTGCTCCGGGGGGGGGGGGGGCGCTGCGCACTCCGGCGGATCAAAGCAAGTTCGATATAACGCGGTAAGATTTTTTGGCTCCCAAGGACAGAGTTATATTGGGGTAGAGGTGTAGTGCCTATGCACTGAACAAGTAGGATTTAATGTTTCCTAAAAAATATTTCAGGAGGCCAGTGAAATTGCCCAACTTCTTCTCTTATTCTCTGGCTATTACAACGCAGCCATATTTATATGGGATGCCAGGCCTGGAGATACAAGTTTCAGATTCTTCTCCTTTAATGAAAAGTATTGTCTGCCAAGTGACTCCACATACGAACAATTGCACTTGGAAAAAAAACACCACCACTTGTGCCAGGAATAATGTGCAATGCAACTAAGAGGAAGTTACTCGCCTTGCACAGCAACAATGATTCTTTGAGATGTGTCCCCCTATGAGTGGTCCACTCTAGGTGTGTTTGTGGTCCCATGCCTCTGATTGGAGATTTTTAGATAGTGTCTGTTCCGCTTGCACATGTGCCCTCCCTCCCTCGTGGTCTGCCTCGAGGCTAACTAGCACTGTGCAGGCGAATCACCCTCGGTTCCTTCTCTACTGTGGAGCCCTTATTGAGAACTCCGAAGTATAGGGGAAGAGGGCAGGTTGTGGAGCACCCATAGAGAGACACATCTCAAACCACCATTGTTACTGCTCAAAGTGAATAACTACTTCTTCAAGAAGCATCCCTATGGGTACTCCACTGTAGATGAATCCCGAGCAGCATTCCCAATGGAAGGCTGGGGTTTTGGAGTCAAGACTGTTATGGATAACAATACCGTGGAGCCAAAGATGGCACTGGAAGCTGAGTCTCTAGTAATCGCATATTGTTCTGCCAAAGTATGAGGAAACGCCCAAGTCACTGCCCTGCAGATTTCTGGGATGGGGACATTCTTAAGGAAGACAACAGAGGTGGAAACCGATCCCATAGAATGTGTGTGGATTCTGGATGGAGGTATCAAATTACAAGCATGTTAGCAAGAGTTAATACAGTTCGAGACCCATTTGGAAAGTCTCAGTGATATCACTGTGCCTTTTGACCAGTCCGCAATTGAGAGAAAGAGCTCAGTAGATTTCCTAAAGGACTTTATCATGTCCAAATAAAAGGCCAAGGCTCTTCTAACATCATGTGTATGCAGTATAGCCTATCTGTTGTCACGGTGAGGCTTTGGGTAAAACGTGGGAAGGTGAATGAACCGGTTCATGTGGAAAGATGAGGTCACCTCGGGGAGGAACTTTGGGTGCAGCCTCAGAATGACGTTGTCTTTAGAGCTCTGTGCAGATACAAAATTTGTATGTGCATCCAATCCGCAAACATGGTCTGCAGATATCCACATCCACGGATGCAGATATCTGTGGACATAAAGCAGATATCCGCAGACTTCCAGGCTCTAGTTATCGTTAAAGAAAATTGTGAAGTGGTGGTGTGCCATTAATGCCGCTATTTCCCCTATTCTCTGTGCTGAGGTGATGGCTACTAGGAACGCTGTCTTCATTGATAGATGCGTAAGAGAACGAGTGACCACAGGTTCGAAGGGCTGTCTAGTTAGGCTCTTTAGAATTCGATTTAGGTCCCAGGTGGGGTGCCTGGTGTATGGGAATAGGTTTCCTATGCCATTGAGAAATCGGTCACTGGATAGATGAAAATCAAGTATCCATCTATTTGTTGGTGGCAGGCCGTTACGGCTGCCAGATGTGCCTTGAGGTAGCTTAGAGATAGTAGGCCTCAAGAGGAGGGAGTGATGTAGTCCAGCACAAAGGGGAGGGAGGAAGATACTAGGACGATTTGTTTGGAATTACATCAAACGTGGAATTTTTTTCCATTTTTGTAAGTGAGTGTGGCAGGTAGCTGACTTTCCACTGTGTAATAACACTTCTTTCACCTTTTCAGAGCAGCAATTCTG